CTCTCGGGATCTTGGGCACATACACGCCCAGCGTGAGTTTTAAGCCACCGGGTCTGGGACTCAAACCGTGGTCGACTATGTGGGAGTCCAGCGACATAGCCATTCCGCTAACTGCTGGTCCCCAGTTCAGCATTGATTGAATTCTTTCTTTTTAAGGAATGATTTATTTAATTCCATTTGTTGCTGTTATTGCTATTATTATTGTTGTTGTTATTATTTTAATTTGACCAGAGGGAGAAAGGGAAGATGAGAAAGCAAGCCATCAGGTCCAGGACCCAAATCGTGGTTGGCCATGTGGGAGTCCAACACCTCAACTGCCATGCCACCTGCTGGCCCTATTTATTGAATTTTTACAACATGCTTTCTGTTGAATTAGGTATTGAATTATGCACTGAGGGTCTGTTTCTTCTCAAAGTTTACAGTCTATGGAGGAGACAGAGTAATTTAATAAATAGCTTCTCATCCCAGTGCTAAGTGCTCCCCTACATAGAGAGAGTCTTGGGAACACAGAAGATGGATCCTCCAGTTGCAAGAATCAAGAAAAGCTTCCCCAAGAGGTCGCACACACCTGAACTGAGATTTGAGGGATAAGGAAAAGTTAGGGGGAGAATGGGCAATGAATTCAATGTGTAAAAAGATTTTCAACACTGGGCCAGCTGTGGCATGGTGGTTAAGCAGCTGGATCTTACATGGCCCATGGCACAGTTCAAATCCCAGACCCAGTGGCTGAAAAACATGCCAGATGCTTGTCTGTGTCCAAAAAAATCCCAAGAAGAGGACGGAGGAGAAGAGATTGCAGTGTGGCCACCCCCGGTGGCTTTCTGAGTGCATGTACCCTATGGCAAAAAACAGAAAATAAAGATTTTTAGTACTTTGAACTATTAGCGTATGAAGACCTGTCCACATACATGTCATTCAGACTGCCTCTGGTTTCCTAAGTGAGGCTAGACCAGAGCAGCTTTTTCCTTCAAAGTTTTCTCTCCTTCAGCAGCTGTCTTTGTTGCCAGTGAAATGCCATGGAAGTAAGAGAACTTGTCATTTCCACTGTGACAGCAGTCTACATTGCTCAACACCTCTTCATAGCAGAAAAGATGTTTGTTCTGTAGGCCAGTGGCCACTAGATAAGTTTTTTCTAGCCAAGTATCTCCTAAGACTGTGTGCCACAGAATCCTTTCTTGGTGATTCTTAATACATGTTAGTTTTTTTTTTTTTTTAGAGTGATATTTTTGCTACAGGGCACATGTGCTCCCTGGAGAGACACAGACAGACAGAGACAGAAAGTGAGAAATCACTCCCTGAGGAGGAAGGCCATGTTGTAATCCCTTCTTCATTCTCCTCTCAGGATTTTGGGCGTGCACGCACACACACACACCTGGTGTGAGTTTCAAGCCTCAGCTCCAGGATTAGAACTGTAGTTCAGCCACGTGGAAGTCTGGTGATGTAACCATTACACCATCTGCTGGTCCCTCAATGTTAGATTAAAAAAAAAAAGAAATATTTATTTAATTTTATTTATCATTGTTATTATTATTTAAATTTTGTTATAGGACATGTGTGCTCACCAGAGAGAAAGTGGAAAAGCAAGCTGCCTGGTCCAGGACTTGAACCATGATTAGCCATGTGGGAGTCCAGCCTTAACCACCACATCGTCTGTTGGCCCAATAGATGTTAGATTTTTAAACAGAGAATTTTGTAGAAAGGTAGGTTGGGTAAATAATGGTTTATTTTAGAGATTCTGGTATGATCATACACATTGGAATTTTAAGAAAGGAGAGAGTATGCGCGGGTTCTTTTTTTCTTTTTAAGAGGGATTTTTTGCTGTAGTGCATGTGAGCTCGATGGAGAGACAGAGAGACAGAAAATGAGCAATCACCCCACAGAGGGGACGGTCACGCTGCAATCCCTTCTCCATTCTCCTCTGGGAATCTGAGCACACACACACACATGCACCCTGCATGATTTTCAAGCCACCGGGTCCAGGACTCAAGCCACAGTTGGCCATGTGAGAGTCCAGCAATGTAACCATTATGCCATCCACTGGTCCCTGGGTTCTAAAGGGTTCTTTAACTTATGGAGTCTTTATTTCTGTGGACTGCCTTGTGAACCATCAATGACATCATCTGGAAACACTCCTTAGACCAGGGTTTCTGAACCTCAGCACTACTGATATTTTGGAAGGGATGATTTTTCTTTCTTTTTCTTTTTCTTTTTTTTATAGGCCATATGCATCCTCCAGGGAGAGAGAGAGAGAAAGTGGAAAAGCACCCCCAGCAAGCGCCACCCTATAATCCCTTCTGTTCTCCTTTTGAGACTTTGAGCATGCATGCACACATGCCTGGTGTGTTTGTCTTTCTCTCTCTCTCTCTCTCTTTCTTTCTTTCAAAGAATTATCTTATTTAATTTTATTTATTTATTTTAACTTGATCAGAAAGGGACAGAGAGAGAGAGAGGGAAAGTGAGAAAGCAAGCTGCCAGATCTGGGCTTTGAACCAGGGTCGGCCATATGGGAGTACAGCGTCCCTAACTGCCACACCACCTGCTGGCCCCACCTCGTGTGTTTTTCAAGCAGCCTGGTCTAGGACTCAAAGCACGCAGTCAGCCATGCGGGATCCAGTGCCTTACCCACCACGCCACTGGTGGACCCTGAACTGGAAACTGTTGTGAGGGGCTGTATTGTTTATTGGAGGATGCTTAGCAGTATCCTTCACCCCTACCCACTGTATCCTGGTGTAGTTATGAAAAACAATAGGGACCAGTAGTTAGCGTAATGGCTATGTCGCTGGACTCCCATGTAGTTGACCTTGGTTCGAGTCCTGGACCCGGAGGCTTAAACTCACGCCGGGCGCGTGTGCATGGGTGCCCAAGATCCTGAGAGGAGAAGGGATTGCGGCGTGGCCATCCCCCCTGGGGGGTGATTTCTCGCTTTCTGTCTCTCTATCTCTCTCTGTCTGGCAAGCGCACGTGCCCTATGGCAAAAACCTCTCCAAAAAAAAAAAAAAAGAACCACTGGTCTAGACTGCATTCCTTCAGGAGAGAGTCTCTGTCTTCTTCCTGAATCCATAGTATAGATTATACACATAATAAATGAATAAATTATTGTTGAATAAATAAACTAGATCTTATGACCAGGAAATCTCAGATTTTCCAGATTCTAAAAATATTAGATTATAGATTTTTAAAAAAATGTCTTGCAATTTTGGTATTGTTTCACTGTCAAAATTTAACATATCGGGCTGGCAAGTGGCATAGGGGTTACGGGTGCTGGACTCCCACATGGCTGACCACAGTTCTGGTACCAGACCTGGCAGCTTGCTTTCTCACTTCCATCTCTCTCACTCTGTCCTTCTCTGGTCAAATTAAGTAAGTAAATAAATAAATCCTAAATAAAATACTTTTAAAAGTTAAGCATATGAATTGCTCAGTATAGCTGCTATCTAATCTGTCTGCATAATTAATGTAGGCTCATTTATGGGGTTTCATGGATCATCTTCAACTGGGATGATAGTCCCCAGAGTTTAGAGCTAGTTTTATTTATTTATTTACTTATTTATTTTTAAAGAATTATTTTATTTATCTTTATTTATTTATTTATTTATTTTAATTCAACCAGAGAGGGACAGAGAGTGAGAGAGAAAGAGAGAAAGTGAGAAAGCAAGCTGCCAGGGCCAGGACTTGAACTGTGGCCAGCCACTATTTTAAAATTTGCTTCAGGGCACATACCCTCACCAGAAAGAGACAGAGACAGAGATAGGGCAAGTAGAAAGCAAGCTGTCAGATCTGGGACTCGAACCACAGTTGATATGTCCAGCACCTTAACCACCATGCCACCTGCTCTTACTGTCAGTCTCATTTTGATGTTCTCTTATTCAAAAAGATAGCAACATGGCATCTGAATGATCAATATTTAGAAATCTTGAGAATCTTAAGTTAGACACCCAAGGGGACAACATGTGGCATGGAGATTAAGATTCTGAATCCAGGACCAGCAGGTGGTGTGAGGGCTAAGGCGCTGGACACTCCCATGTGGCTGACCACGTTCCAAGTCCTGGTCCTGGATTTGTGTGTTTTGTCACTTTCCTCTTTCTCTCTCTCTGTGTTTTCTCTCTGGTCGAATTAAAAAATAAATGAATGAACAAATAAAAAAATATATATATATAAATATAAAAGGTACTGGATACAGCATAGCCAGCTGTATAGTTCAAGTCCTGGACCTGACAGCTTGAAAATCACTCTCAGAGTGTGTGTGTGTGTGTGCGCGCGCCCCCAAAATCCTGAGAGGAGACTGGTGGAAGAGGGATTGTGGTGTGACCATTCCCCCAGGAGACGCCTTCTCACTTTCCCTTTGTGTCTCTTTGCTTCTCTCTGGCAAGTGCACAGGCCCTAGAGCAAAAAACTAAAAAAACAAAAACAAAAAACCTGAAACTCCATATACCAGCACATATTAAGTGACTAGCAAGCTCTTTAGGCCAGCCTGATAGATTAGTAGCTCTGGAGACCCGATCCCACGTGGCCAGCCATGGTTGGAGTCTCAACCCCAGGGACATGAAAAGCACACTGGACATCTGTGTGTGTCCCCTAAATCCCAACAGGGTGGATAAAAAGAGGAGGGAATACGGGATGACCATGCCCCATGGGGTGCTTTCTTCTTTTCCCTTCTTTCTCTCTCTTTTGGTCTCTGGTGAGTACACGCCCTCTGGCAGTGAAAAAAGAAAAACAAAAAAGGATCTCAATCATTGTAGTTAATCAGGCCAATCGGTGGTGTGGAATTTAAGGCACTGGGGCCCACGTGGCTGGCCTCGCTGTTCAAATCCGGGACCTGTGGCTTGAGAATGACACCAAGCATGTAAGCATGCATGTCCAGAGTTCCAAGAAGAGACTGGAGGAGGATGAATTGCTGCGTGACCACCCCCGGGGGGTGATTTCTCACTTTCCCTCCTTCGCTTTCTCTGGGGAATGCACGCATCCTATAGGAAGACAAGAACAACAAACAAAAAAGTCATTACCCTGCAAGTGAGATGAACCCTTTATGGCCGAATAGCACAGCAAATGTTTTTTTCATCTCTTTAGGACCTCCAGCCAACCTGTTTCAGCCGCCTCGTCGTCCTGGCCTTGGCACTGTTGGGAAACCAATTCGACTTTTAGCCAATCACTTTCAGATTCAGATTCCTAAAATAGATGTGTATCACTATGATGTGGATATCAAACCGGAAAAACGGCCTCGCAGAGTCAACAGGTAGGGATTAAAACAAGTAGATGTCTGTATATTTAAATGCATAAAATGTATTTATTACGTATCATGTTCTCTAAATTCTTTCATATGTATGCTTAAAAAAAAAAAACAAAAAACTGGTGGCCGGCAGGTGGCTGATGGTTAGAGTCGCTGGACTCACACATGGCCGACTGCGGTTCAAATCCCGGACCTGGCAACTTGTTTTCTCACTTTCTCTCTCTCTCTCACTCACTCTGTGCCTTTCTGGCCAAATTAAAATAAATAAATAAAGTTAAATAAAATAATTATTTTAAAATAAATAAATAAGCAAGTAAATAAATAAATGATAGTGGGTCAGCAGGTGATTAGGTGGTTAAGGTGCTGGATCCCACATGGCTTGAGTTCCAGACCTAGCAGCTTAGGGAACATGCTAGGCACATGTGTGTGCATGCCCAGAGTCCCCAGAGGAGAACAGAGGAGAGGTGATTGCAGTATGACCGTCTCTAGGGGGGCCATTTTGCAATTTCTCCTTCTCTCTGTCTCTACAGCGAGCAGATTCATCTTATAGCAGGAATCTAAGAGGAAAAAACAAACAAAAAAGAGAATAGTACTTCCCTTAAGAACAAGTTCGCTGTCTCACACTTATCTCACACTGTCTCACACTTGGCCTTCATGGACCCTAGCAGAGCGCTGTATATATCGTTGGTCAATCAGCACATGTAAAAGAAAGGTCACTCTTCCGTTGACTAAAAGTAGGAGAAATTTATAAAAATAGAAGACCTTAGTGACTGAGAAACAGTTACTGAAAATTCAAGTTTAATTATTAAATGTTGGCATTGGGAGAAATGTATAAATCTATAGATGTATAAAGACCGAAGATTCCTCCTGCAGTGTTGAAAAATGGGAGCTTGGGGGCTGACAGGTGGTGCAGTGGTTAAGAGTGCTAGATTCCAGGACCAGCAGTTAGCGTAATGGCTATGTCGCTGGACTCCCATGTAGTCGACCACAGTTCAAGTCCCGGACCCGGTGGCTTAAACTCACACTGTGCACGTGTGCGTGCATGCCCAAGATCCCGAGAGGAGAATGGAGGAGAAGGGATTGCGGTGTGGCCATCCCCCCGGGGGGGTGATTTCTCTCTGTCTCTCTCTGTCTCTGTCAAGCACATGCACCCTATATTAAAAACCTCTCAAAAAAAAAAAAAGAGTGCTAGATTCCCACATGGCTGATTTTTAAAAAAATAAAAACTGGGAGCTCAGAGGTTGGATGGTGGTTCAGTGGTAAAACACTGTGAGCTTGGCCCACATGCTAGGGTTCCAGGTCCACGTCAGAGACCTCCCTGCATTCTCTGGCCATGTGCATGCCCATGACCCAGGCTGGCCTGAGGCTGGAGGTGAGTGGGAACATCAGTACCCCGGTGGGGTAAAATCTCGCTGTCTTTTTTTTCTTTTCTTTTCTTTTTTTTTTTTTTTGAGAGGTTTTTGCTATAGGGTGTGTG